TCAAATTGAGATAATGTTTAATGACAGATATATCATAAATCAATAAATGTATTAAATTTCCGCCATAGACGTTAATTTAATTATTACAAATCGCACGCATTATTTTAAACATTGTGGATTAAGTATTATTACATTTAACAGTACAGATAAATAGATACCGAGCTAAATATGAGATTGGTATGAAATGTTTCATCTGATATTTTGTGTTACATGAAATATTGATTAAATGTTCGCTTTATTATGCCTAGTTTTAAGAGGTACTAAAATGGATTCATGAAATTGAATTATAACGACGTTAATAAATTATAACGACATAAATTTGATATGAAGAGAGATGTAATATTTTATATTTTATTAAGAAGTTTTTCCCTTTTAATATTAGGATTGATTGCTATAAATTCATATAATAAAGTTTATAAATTTTTAATTATTTTTTATATAGGACCGCAATTACGCAGTTTTATAGCTTTACTGGCTGGTATTCACAGTCTGTTCTTACATAGATATCTGAAACAATGAGACCGTCTTAAATATAATCTTAAAATGTCATAAACCAATCACACAATCATATTAGCATTTCAAAATGTTATTTAAGACGGTCCTGAAATAAGAATAGAAATTATGAATATCTAAGTCATATTTGTAATCTAAAGATATCGTCCATTGTTACTAAACTGTTTATTTGTTTGTATAATTTACGTTTACTGCCTACAGCATTCATTTCGTTATCGACGAATGTCATATTGGATACTTTCTATTTGATGAGACAAGTCGATACAAATATTGTTCTATCTTTTTAATCAAAGAATGCCAAAAAGGATAGAATGAGTGTCAACTCGTGTTACTAAATGAAAAGCACCCTTGACAAAGAAAATCTCTCTCATCTCGTCTGCTTCTTTAGTCGATTTCTTTACACAGAAAATACAAGAATGCATTGATACGCATTACAATTAGAATATAAGTATGCTTAGTATTTAATATTCCTTTCTGTCAGTCCTATAGTCAAGTAAACCAATATACGTCATTGCAGTTTAATCGAACCAGCGAAACGGCTGGACGCTGTGACACAAAGAATATATGCATATATTCGTATGCGAGTGAGTTAATAATAAAGTGTCGATAGCAGAAATATGATAGAGGAGAGCTGTAAGGGAGACACGTCGTGCAATTCAGAATAGCTTTTATAAGATGTACATCATAGTGGATATATATATATATATATGCACAAGAAGCGGAAATTCAACTAAAATGAAATACGCAAACTTAATTATTCTCTAAAAGACCATTTATTAATTAAAAGTCATAAAAATTAGATAGTTGCTAGAAGAGCTGTAATATTAAATGATATATATTCTTTCAAAATTATTATTAAATTTGTAACGCTTAAGAGAATTCATTACTGGCCGATAAAATCGATACAAAACTGTGCCATTTACGTCAGTTAATATTAATTAACCAATTACCGGCTCTTCGTTAAGGATAATTCAATGCAATGTGGTGGAGACGTGCGACAGATGGGAAAGTAAATAATGAGGTTCTCTGTAATGAAACCTTTGTAGCAAAAGGAGCTACAGCAATTTTTCAGACTTGTCTCATAGTTGTCTCATATTCCTTCTGTGTAAAAAGTGGAAGCAACACTCAAGATGAAGACGTACCGAGTTGGAGGCACTTCTATTATAAAAAAAAATAATACTAAACGAAATGTTGGATTTGAATTTATAAATATAATAGTACAATTGATAGCCTATAATATAATCTACAATTGAAAATCTATAATAGGATAAGACGAAACAATTTCAAACATGATATAAGTATAATTCTGAAAGAAGTAAGATTTAAATCCAATTTTTGAAGTTTAAATTTGATTTTTTTCTGTTTGGTACTTTCAAGCAATACTTTTACGCAATGAGAGGGTTACCAAACTCGAACCTCTATTGACTTGAAATCCGATTCAAATTTTATTTTGTTCAGAGTTGTACCATGTTCTAAATTGTACCACTTTACCCTATATGATGTTATTTTATATACTGTAATATATTACACTGTGTATATAATATATTACACTATTGTAACACACAATATTATAACATATTACATTATTTTTATGAAAAGAATTAATAAAGTTAAAATTTAACATCGAGTAATATTTATTAGTAGAAAAGATGTTTTAAATGACAATTTTTCAATATTCTACAAAATAATTGGCAGTACTATTTGAAATAATGTAAATCTCGATATAGTGATTTCTTAAACTTATAGAGCTAATGTTCCAGTTACTTCACACAGTTCAGAACTATCAAGAGAATGTAATTAAGCGGAGAATGTGGATTATGTCACGCGTATTAAACTCGAGGTACTCGAAATACCTACCATGAGGATGCTTAACGATGCGCATATCTTATTAAAATATTTACTCGATTTAAATGTGTGTGCTTATATTTTATTTATAATCGTATTTTATATTTTAATAGATCTTTAATAAATGATTTAGAGAATTGCATTACTATTCTATTACGTCCTGGTTGTATAATGCATACCTAATGGTCCTAACTTAAATAAATTAACTTGTTAAGTTAATAAATTATATTTATATAATCTAAATTTGTTGGAAACAGTGCAAAACAATTTTTAAAGTAGAATATTAAATAAACGTTGTGCAGTATTAAAATGTTTTAAGCATATTTCTAAATAATAACTTAAATTGAAAATATTTAAACTCCGCGCAAATATAACTTTCCTTGCGGAGCTCGTTCTAAATACAACGTAAACGTCATTGTTTAATGAAATTTTGTAATTTAATTAAATTGCTTTAATAAACATCGTACTTCTTAACAAAGAAATATTTGTCAAACTAATTTGTCTAAATTTTCTCTGAAAATTACGAAAGCATTTAACTTAATTTCTTTAATACATAATGTATCATAAGCAGTATATTTTTTTAATCTTTTTTAAATTGTACTATTGAACTTCTTGAATATTCTTTTTATTGCACTATTATATAGCAAGCTGAAATTTGATAATAGAAATACAAAAATAAAGATAAAATAGATAAAACAAATAAATTTTATCTGATCTTAATTTTATTTTTTTTTAACCTGGCCAAACAGAATATTTTTAAATTTATTTATAATTGAATTAATTAAACGTCGTGACTGGTTATTAAATATTAAATAGCATATTGATTCTACTCCATTTATTCGATCTCTAAAAAATAAATTTATACCATATAGCATAATATCATTAAATACCTTAGGAATAGAATTTGCAATAAAAATAGATCTTATTAATAATATTCCTTTTCAATACAGTCCAAGTATGGTTTTCTTACAACACATTTGCATTTAATGTTGTTTTCTTTTTATCCTTATTTGTCTCAATAAATGCTTCTTAATTATATATTTAATTATTTAATTATAAGTTCTTTACTACCGCAATTATTTATTTATAACGAGTTCTATTGATAACTTTATCGAAACACGTGACCCTTTTTTCGCACACAATGATGCTTGTTATTGAAATCTGACTTTCGTGTCACTTATTTTCATTATTCTAGTTAGCGCTGTTCTAATTTTTCTTTTCTATCTTTTCATATATATTTTAATATCTGTATCATTTCGTGATCCCGTTTCAGGACCCTTTGCCGATTATTTCGCCCAGTGCCAAGCGTTTGATTACACGACATAGCTGGAAGGAACGATGTTTAATTTCTTCGTCTCTGTATAAATGGCACTATAGGAAACATTAAGGATACGCGAGCAGAATACTGGTAAGCGCAAACACATGTACACACACACACACACACATACAATACACATACACATAAGTGTACGTACGTGAACAAACGAAGGGGCCGTTAGTGACAGTGGCTTTGTAAAACCACCTCCTACCTTTCAGTTTTACAATACACGCCACCTCCCCTTTTGTATCCCCCGGTAAAATGATGCGCGCACGGTTACGTTAAAGTGGAAAGAGGCCGCGCTTTTCAATAAGCGGACTGCCGCTGCATCTCGCCGTGAGAACGGCACAATTAGTTATTATCGTGATCCACAAACCGGCGTTATTATCTTAAAAGCTGCTACTTCGTACAACGGCCGGAAGTTTTCTCAGGGGAAAACGCTTCCGCGGAAAGTTGAAATATTAGCGGTCCCATAAATCGCGCCTCGTAAATTCCGCTGCTTTCTTATACGAAAAATTGCATATTAGTCATTAATAAGTCAGCGTAATGCACTGTGTTGCGAAAAATTTCGCATTACTTCTTCTCGGAAGAAACGGATACGGGTAGTATTGATTACATTTATCGTCCGAAAAAAAGAAACAAATACATTCGGTTTATCTGATCTTGAATTTTGGATTTTTCGAAGTAAACATACTCTTTTATGTAGTATGTATATACAAAAATAAAGTACGTTATAAAATACCAATCTGATCCAAGGCTTATCTAAAAATAAACACTTGTTACAATAAAAAAAAGGTAAAACATAATAAATGTAGCAGCTGTGCGAGAAGAGAGAGAGAATACGAAATCTGTTTTGTGAAGAAACAGCTGGAAAACAGTTTCCATAATTCACAGGGTAATTCACGGGAAGTATTAGCGATATTATCCCTTATAAAAATGTAATGCGGCTCAATTTAATACTGAAAGAGTAATTAATTACTTATTTTTAGTATCGTTATAGCATTGTTTTTTAATACTTTTAGTACCCTATAAGGAATAATTAATTACTGTTTTTCAATAATAAATTGGCCAGTATTGGATTAATAAAGAATTGACCTGATTTTGAATCGGATGTGCATAAGATAGAATTGTCTTATAAAATCTTTTTTGGTAAACATTTATATTTTCCTTTATAATTTACATTATACGTATAAAAATAATAACTACATATTTGTAATCATTTAGATTATATAAGAATAAAAAAAAATCAATTTATAGATATTTTGGGGATGGGATACCTTAAATAACACACAAATATAGAGTTTATGATAGAGTTTTACTTGTTTCTTATATTTAGTAGGTATATAACGATTACAATCTAAGGCTCTGCGTATAAATAGTATCCGCACAGGATCTCTTTCAATGTGTTCGTACACAATTAGCGCCATGCTTTTAATGTACCTTTAGTGCCAGCTTTGAGAGCTCATATACATCGATCGATTTGATAGTGTCGGGTGTGCCATCGCTATTATCGACGGTAATATCGTTAAAGTAACACACTGATCAACGGTAAACGTCCCCATATCGGAAGGTATCTACATATTGCTACTAATTCCGAGTTCCGTAATTGCAGCCTGAATATGCACATCGAGAGGTTCGCTCGCATTGACACTGCTATGCTGATACCCATTCAGGAAGTAACACGTGCCCGATACACTGGCTGGCATTCCCTTGGGTAGATTGTCCTTGGTCCGCGGTTCCAATATGAATCCCGATTTTTGTGTTAAGCACCTGTAAATACATTTGCATACCGTGAATGATGGATGTATGCGTATATCGCTCCCTTACTTTAAAAGTGATATAACTAAAAAATACATGGTTTTCAAATTATTACCATAAATGAGTTAACACTAGAAGTGTTAACACTAGAACCGAGGAGAAATTATTATATTATGAACGGAACGTTTTAACTTTTTAGATTAATATCCGTTATATTTCTTGTGTAAAAAATAGACTTTATGAAATATTTTTTTACTTATTAATAATAATTATGTTCTTACACTGATAAAATATTTAGTTTCTCATCACTTTTTTCTTTTTGTAGTAATTTGCGCTTGTTCGTTCAAAACATTGGTATTTCTAATGTTAAGCAAACATTACTCTATCAGTCTTTAAAAGTGAATTAATTTAACTTTTGATAAAAATCGTCATAACTCAAAAAGAGTGGTATTTTTAAAGATTGTCAAACGAAAGCGACAAAAATGATTTGATCATTTTAAGAATATATTTTTTTGTCAATATTATTAGAGAGAGACTACACTGTTAAATCTATAGTGTCAAATTTAACCTGATGTGAGTCGTCACTGCTCTTATTAAATATATCTTATACTTATTTCATCCTAAAACGATAATTAAATTTGATACTATACCGTGTCATATAACCATCGTTTTAGTATAAGCTAATGATATAATTGAGTAGAAGCAGTGGCGATTCATATTAGATTAAATTTGACACTACAGATTTAACAGTGTAATCAATAATTTTTTGTCAAGTTGAAAAATAATTTCCGCCTTTTCTGGGAAATTTTCCCATACAACACAGACTTCCAAGATACGTCCTAAAGATATCCAGAGAACGTCTCTAAGTCCTCTGATCGTCCTAAGGATGTTCCTAGAATATCTGTCGAATAAAGTGTGCTGTATGTGTAATTTTCTGAATTGTGTCACTTTTGAAGTAAAGGAGCGATATATGTATATACAAGAAAAAGAGAGTTATTTTATCATAAGACATACAGGTACGTAGTTGGACTGACGTTGACACGAAGTGGTTCGCTCGTGGATTCAAATTTATTCGCCAACGTGACGTTATGTCCAAAGAGACAGTATCTTGGCATTTTCTTACCAACGATTCCTGCCAACACCATCCCGGTGTGAATGCCGATGCGCATCTGATAGAATAAATAAGCAAGGCAATCTAGTGAGTCGACAAGAGCTCAGTACGCTGTATATTGACGAATATAAAAAAGTTAGATGACAATCAGAAGAAAACACGAGAAAAAGAAACATAACTTGCTTTAAATGTTAATGCAATGGTGGATAGACCGCGTTTTCTCATATTTTCAAACCGGCCGCTTGTTGTCGTAGTTAAGAAATACTTTAAATGGAAAAAGTTTTAATAGCATTCAAGGCGAGAATAATAAACAACAAACTGCTATGTAATAATCAGAAATAGGTATTTCTCAATTGAAAAACTTTGAAAGAAATATGATGTTTCCTGAGAAAAAGGAAGAGATTTGAGATTTGAGAGTTGAGAGTTGAAAAATTGTTCCAATTATTATTTATAGTTATGAATGAATGAGAAAATTTATTCATACAATTAAAAATTATATTTAAAAAAATTGGCAAATTTTGTAAAAAATGTATTTGTAATGTTACTAATATAGCAACAAATATTACTTCTGTATCCGTAAAATATATTTATTAAAATTTTAGATTTTTTAAAATATTTAATAATCTCTGTATTTTAAAACATGGAACGCAACGGTATATAACATTTAATATAATATTTCCATTCCACTGTGCACTGTTAACGTTTATATTTTCTCGCTCAGTGTAATGGAAGTAGAAACGCTGGTTGTAATATATCAAATTGCATAAAATCATAATAAAACTGCAAATGTTTACTATGCTATTACTGTCGACATTGTGGTGAAAGAAAATTGCATTGCATGTAATCACAATCTTATCTGTAGTCATGTAATCATCAATGTAATACCTTTATTGGCTTGCCTTCGTGAGTCAGGTGATGAGAGCACGTTTGTATCATCTTTAGGCCCATCCAAGCAATTTGTTGTGCATGTGTATTGGTATTTCGATGAAGGCCGCATGCAACGCAGTAGGCATCGCCGATTGTCTCTACCTGTTTATACAAGGAGAAAAGTAAAATCAATGCAATTTCCATTTATGTTCACACATAATAGCTACTTTTATAGACCATGTTTGACATAATTAGAATTCTTTGATCGATTTAAATGAAAAAATATACTTTTCTACTCTATCGGCATCATATTATTTCTCGCTATTGTGGAAAAACAAAAGCCAACCATGATAAGATATTATTCGAGAGTTAAATCCAGTTCTTTCGATGTCTCACAGATGGCAGCATCATACATTTTTGCAACTCGAGCGAGCTAGATTATAACGAAACGATCGATATTTGTAAAATACGAATTGACAAATAAAAGTACATTGTTAAAAAATACTTATCTTTTACATGACAAATTAATAATTATATTTTTAATACGTCAAGGAACATCCAAATATAATTTATCTTTCAATTCTCATCAATTTAAAGTTTCAAAAAACGAAGAACGGATAACTTTACTTGATTAGTATAATTTGCAAATTAATAATTATATACTAAATATATATCAGTCCATGTGGTTTTTATGTGTAATAGCATTATTCCCAAGCGACTATATAACGTACCTTATACACATCCAACTGACCACAGTAAAGATCAAATTGCTCGTATAAATTTTGAAGCATGTTGATGACCATCATTGGCGTTGCTGTAGCGCAAATGGATGTAAATCCGACTATGTCGCTAAACAGCATCGTGACGTCTGGATACGTTTTTGCCTCGATTGTCTCTCCTAAACGATTTAAATACCAACATTTAATTAATAAATTCTCATAAAATATATTCAAATTGTGCTGTAATTTAATAATTATAAACAATACGAATTAATGCGAGTCTTGATATTTATATTTAATATTTATATGTGAATATATTATATCCCAGTAAACGGCAAGTTACACATAACGTACTGTTGTAATTTTACCCTCAAAAATATAACTGTAATATAACACTATTATATTAAAATTGTATTGTTGAATGAAAAATTACAACTAACATAAACGTTACTTGTTGCTTACAATGTAACTTGGTGCTTGTTAGGATCAGTTCTGTAGGTGAAGTTCATAACAGTTATAGTTTTTATAATTAATTATTTCTATTTTCATAGGATATTACACTTCATTCTACTTTGGAAAGTAAAGAGAGAATCTTAAAGAGAAAACAAAAATATTACTATATTTTTTAGAATCGAACATAGATGTTGAAATTTACCTAGCCACAGACGTTTCGCAATATCCGGGGGAAATATAAGATGTAGGAGACTGACATTCTTTTCTCTTTCCGCATCGACTGCCAGGTTAGCTTCTTCTATAGAACTTTTCAATTTATCCATACGTCTTCTTAAGCCATCCTGAAAGAAGATTACACCATTGTATTTTATGCGGATGCGATAGTACAGAACATCGATCAGTTTCAATTATATTAAATGCAACGAGTTGTATTCTACCGCAATGAAACAATAACAACCGTTGATGACACAAAATAAATACGACTCAAGTTTTGTTAAATAATACGGGCGCTCTCGACTTGTGGTCACATAAAACCGACCGTGAATTCACTCACCTGTGCCCTAGCTTGTTCACCAACGAGTATAACGTCCCTTGTAGCGTCGTGAAGTGGGATATCAGAAATGAAGAGTCCTCGACCCGTTAAGCCCTCCAAACCGTTCAAAAACGGTGAGCTTACGAATAAAATCGAGTCTGACTCTGGACAGTGTACCATCTGACCCTTCATTTCCAAACCCTGTAACAAAATAGAGTTACTTTTTTTTAATTTATCTTATTAGATTACACGTACGTATTCGAACAAAATTAAATAATCCACTTTACGTGCAAGAATCGTGAAATTAAGCGATTTCCTTGCGTAGTCTGCTTTTATTTGTATGTTTGTGTAGTATAACGATCGAGTTCGCAAGTAAGCAGATCATCTTATCTTACGTTAGCAATCATGTCATGAATATACCTCCGCAGGATATTTATCGACGTCGTGCGGTCTCTGGAGGGTCAGAATAAACGGTGTATTCGCTCGCTTTAGGATCTCGTGAAAGGTCAGAGTGACTCCGTGGGGTCGTGTGAAGACGAAATACGTCGATATCCCCCTGCCGAGCCGGTTCAAGTGGTGTCCAAAAATCTTCATAAAGCCGACTCCGAGTTGCACGAGCTCCAACTGACGATCGACGACGAAGTGCCATGGGAACGCTTTGCAAAAGCTCGCTACCCCCATACGAAGGTCCGTTGCTGCGGTGGAGAGTGGACGGAAAGTGGATGACACTACGTCGCAGTCGTCGTCTACGCCCAACTGTTCGCTGTAACGCTCTGGAGTAATCCGATATCTGCAATATTCGAGGAATAGGTGTTGCGGGTGTTGTCCTTTCTGCCACGCAGAAGAAATATCTATTCAATAAGGGATCGACATCGATCGCGCTTTTTCCGCGTACATCCGAAGCAATATGCGCGTTAGAAGCGTCATTTCAACGATATCACAGAACATTTCGCATATAAATACCAGGATTGAGCTTATACTTCAACTTCTACACTTATATGTAGATATGTGTGGGAAAAGTCAACACTTGTTATGATGATTTAAAACAACCAGAGGCAATTACTGCCGTTCCTGATGCTACATCGCGCAGATAAATGTAACCAGCACGATGGAACGTTTAATTAAACTTGGAAATGTAAGCGATGTGCGGTGACAATGTTTTGCACGTCATTTACATGTTCACGAGTTGATCTCATCCTTTCAGAATTAACGTGAGACTCGGCAGTACCGCACCTATCATCAAATATTTGCCACGAGAATCAATATTTGTTCAAACGAAAGGTTTGTATTCTCACGTGCTCTGCCTTCGCCTATCTGCACGAATTACATTCTACTCACGTGACATTTCACTCCACGCGATTCGGTGAGCAAATATTATATACAACACGCAAAGGCATAGAACGATATAATAACATTCAATAAAAACATTTGATATATAATGACATTCGATAAAAAGATTCATATATTTTCTTTTTTTTTTCAGGTGACCACAGTTTTGTAGTAACCGATATGAATGAATACATTTTATGATTGAATCGAAATTCTACGTAAACACCTGAATTATTTGCGTAAATGATGAATGATATACAAATAAATGCGTATAAATTGTTTGCGTAAGGAATGATATTTGCGATATTGCGAAAGTCACTCGATAGCGGTTATTAGAGTTTATGTCACGGCGTATTCAACAACTCTGAAATTTCATCATATATGTCTGTCTCTGCAATCACCATTTATATTCATTTTATACAAGGATCTAATCACAGCTGAATTAAAAAATTTTAGCGAATATTGAAAAGGCCATAATCATGTAGTGTAGTTGATGTGTGTGTTGTGCCACCAATTTTCGCCGTATTTCTCCAAATCATATTTCCAGCGTTTGTGTCGCTTTGATTTCATATTTTTCGTTTCCCTCTCTTTTTCTTGCTCTGTTTTTACCGTTTTACGGGTAGTCGTCGAATCAGAATTGTGTCGCTTTAAAGTGAGGTAACGTGGACCTTTGTATTCGTTGCCGCGAAAAGCTCGCTCGGGCGTGACGTTTGATAACAACATTTGTATTCTTCACTAAACACAAAGATAGTCTAGAAAATTTCCTTCATTTTTATGTTTCGATAGCATCCTTATCTAACAATAAACTTACCGGTTTTAAAATCAGGCTGAAAAGAAACGGAAATTAAAATCTGTGGATGAAACTTAAGATCCCCGACGAAAACAAGATGGTACATAAGGAAAAAAGATCGAGCTTGTCGGTCATAAAATGAAGTAAAACCCCAGACAACAAAAAGTGTCTAAAATCGGATCATAAAACGCTTTTTGCATCTAAAGGACGATTTAAAGACGTCTTATTTTGGGAGACTTCATATATTCATAAAAACATTTACCTAAAAAATTTTGTGTTGTAAGGATCAGGCAGTATATATACGTCGGCTTTGTCGCTATAAAACTGCCTGGCTATGCCCTTCAAACTGCCCACCAGGAGATAGGCGATAGAAGGATGGTCGGTGGTAAAGTGTAGCTCCAGCGCTTCCGGTGTGGCGATACACACAAATTCCGCCTCGGTATCCGATCCCGACTGATGCTGGACAACGTCGTTTACGCCATCCAGTGTGGTCAAGAAAGCGGTCAGATCGTTTCCAAGGCAACGAAAGGCCCGCTCTAAGAGACCCACGCAAGCCCATGCGATCAGCTCCTGTCCGAGATGATCGAAAAACGCGTTCACGTCGATGTCTGCAAAAGTTCCGTAAACATGAATTCGCCTTGAGGGAATTTCGTCGAGTCACTCAAGAACCGTTTATTTCTTTTTTGGTGATATTCAAGAAACTAAGTTTTGTAAACTGTACATAAAATATACAGTGGCACGTCGTCTTAAAGTATATAAAGCAAAATCCTTACACAAAAAAGTAGATTTACCGCAGATACTTTATTTATTTAAGAAAAAACTCTATATATATTTATCTTGGGGTAGCAAGCGTATCTTCTAAAGATTCTTTTTTTACTTTTTGCGGAATTATAGATGGTTTATCTCTTTCATACTTTTATATTGAAAATTTCTATGAACATATTTCTATTTAACATGACGTTGAATACTAAAATCGGTGCATTTGAGAATTGCAAGCGAATTTCGCGGGATCGATAATACATGCCGCGTTTCAACTCTGTTAAGCTTGGTATGTTCGGGTCCTTGCAAATCCGGAAATAGATGCGGTGAGCAAGGGCTGCTTTAACGATCCCGTGGGTATTATTTCACATCAAATGTCGTTACGAAAACATGATAATTATAATAACGGTCCATGTGATGTGATATACTCCTGGGTAATTATTCGAATTATACGCAGGACAGTTTTTATGATATTCTGTCATATCATGTGATCCCAGAGAATCAGTGAAATCCGTTGATACTCGTTGATACCTTTTTTTAGCTGATTTTTGACGAATAAACGTCGACCTAATAATGTTCTCAAAGCTTCACGGTAATCGCGACATTAGCCGATAAACATAATAAATCACGCGATAAAATATTGCAAATGCCTGATCGCGATCAGACAACGATATAGGATAATATATTGTCCGGAAATGGAAATATTATCTATGATTTATGTGTATATTTACGCTGCGATTAACCCGGAAGTGCGGATAAAGAAATTTTCGGTTAGAATTTTCTAGGTCACGGCGATACGCGAGGGAAATAAGCGACAGTCTGTCTACGTTATTCCCATATGAATTCGCTGAATGCTTTCTTTTTCTTTACGTGACATCATAAATTCTGGCAGTAAACAGTTTTACTGTTCGACTTTGCGAGATGTCGGACGTATAGTTTGCTGTATAGAGACTCTTCGTAAGTCAATCTTACAAATGGCCTAATGCACTGTATATCTTTAGTGACAGCGGGAGTCTTAGAGTTTCTCTCGAGATTGCATTACGTTGGTACGAGAAGTATCTTCTATGCTCCGGTAACCACAGCAACAACCACTTCCTGTCGCCTATACGAAATGCGATGTGATCGCGTTGCTGGCGAAAGAACGTAAAGGGGTTCTGGGTCATGAGGGAGGAAATAGTATGTGGCTTATGCTGACGATTTGTCTCGCTGCGAGTTCTTATAAGCAAAAATACATGTTTTCTGCCTGCTTGACAAACGGCAGTGCGTATTTGTCAACGGCGATAAGCGTGGTTTATGCGCGCATCGCTCAACGTTGCTAATAGACCGCAGGCACGAAAAAATTTAATGGCCCGATAATTTTCTAGCGGCGTAAATATTGCGAAATGCGAAATAAATAGAGAAAACTGTAAATTCATTAACAATCTCGTTTATTAATCACATACTATATTAAATATTCTCAGAGCTATTCTTGTTTATGCTCACGTGTGCAATGTACTGAATCGCATTAATTGCATTAAAATACGCAGCCTGCGCTTTTATCAGTGAACTTCGATATTCAAGGGCTGGCGTAATTGTTAACGCGGGGGAAAGAGATTCCACCAGGATGGCAATTTCTTTACGGTGTACGCCTTTATGGTGTACGCGCGCGCCTAGAAAAAAAAAGAGACCGCAGGGCGATTTTGTTTGAACTTGAAAGTACCGCGCGCTACGCTACCCTTGTCCTTTTTTTTTCATGGATTACATGCTTGAATACGGAGATCACCTCGACCGAGAATACATATATGTTGCTATCGTCGTCAAAGGAGCGTCTTGACGCAGGAGATAAGTTGGCGATATATTTAACAGGAAACCGGCACAGTGCGTTACACGTTTTATGGCGGGTAAACAGGCATTTCACATAATCGCTCACAGTGTGCTCACAGCACGGTGCAGCATTCTCTAATGTGGTTACGTAACATCACGCGTCGGGTTTATTGCATTAGGGCACCGTAATTCTAAGTTACGAGCGCTAAATTTCGTCCGCGAGATACGTTTTACGTTACCAGACTATTAGTCACAAAGGGCACATTACTCGAACGACGACCGTTGTCTTCGGCAAACGGACGCGGCCAGGGGTGCCCCATTCATAAGTTCCGATGAGGAAGTCAGATCCGAATACATTGCATGCGCATATCGATTGTTCATGATGATTAATAGGACGTTTCTGAAGCATACTCTACTGTAACTACAGTACTCGACAACCGAACGTAAATTGGGTTAATATGCGCTCAAAGATGAAGGATTATGGAAAACCATCTGACAATAACGTCCCTGTCAAGCAGCATTACCCTTAAGCCTCTTTGATAATCGAGATCTATGATTGTCTGTTAACGAATTTAAAGTGTGTGCTACCATATAGCATTGACCCTCTTGCGTACAATTAAATTATTAATGAATTGTTGAAGAGCTTTTCAAGCGATAATTTCGAACAGTTAAAAACTTTTTCCTCTACGTACAGTGAATGCAAAAAGTAAATCTCCCTTATAAAGGAGATTTTATAAAAAAGTTTTATTTGTGGAAAATAAATATTAATTAACGATTTATTAATAAAAAGTATGTTCCGTCCTAACATAAATAAAGAACTTCACGATAATAACCATATTTAGAAGCTAAATTTTTCGACTGTACAAATATTTTCTGTGCATTCAAATAATAAAATTGTCGCTTATTATAGATAATACATTCTAATTATTACAACTTTGTAGATGAAATTTTGTAAATCTAGTTTATTCTTTGTTAATATATTGTTGATTAATGTTTCCTTCAAAAAAAGATTTTTTTAATATCTCTCCTGTACGAATACTTTTGCACTTATTGTATTACATTACGAATAAAAAGGACATATTTAGATCACACGCATCGATAAAAAAATAATTCATTAATGCGTATTAAAAATGGAAAACAATTATATGTGTAGCGTGTATATGTCACAGACAAAATATATGCACTTTATTAATCAACGTATACTATATGTATATATGTAGGAGAGAGTGGTCTAAATCGGATCTATTTGCAGTTTTTGCTCTCTATAAGACGTAAATAAAGTCCGATCGTAAAATCGAAGATGCCATTGGAAAGATCATTTAATTCCTTTTATTTTTATTTGAGACCATTTTGACGTATTTCTCACCTATGTTGAACTATAATGAAAAATGTACAAACGCTTTTTCCGGTCCGATTTGGAACTATTGGTTTTACTCCAAATCGGATCATCCCCTGGTTCAAATCGAACATTCCTATTTTTATGGACTTTTAGGTAGAATTTTAAAATATTTTAATATATTTTTGTCAGTATTGAGTAAAAACGATTTGACAGTCAAAGATAAAAATTTTATTCAGAAAAGAAAGTTACTGACAGTTTATATTATTAGAATTGAAATCAATAAAACTCAATTAATCTGCGTCTGATGACTCATGATATTTTACTGATTTAATTCCTTGGACCAGATCTGGTCGGCCGATCATCAGTACTACAACCAGGACTATATTATTTACTGTCTGATTTGGACACGGGTCCTTTCGAACTTTGGAACAAATTTTACAATAAACCGCAAAAGTGATCACAAAATGCTTGATATTTTTGAATTCTACACTCTTTAATTATTTTAAATCAATTATCTTTCAAATTTTTAACACCTTTTAAATAATGATTTACAAGGATTCCTTTTTTAAAAAAATTTTCACACAATAGCTGAAAATACATATTTGTGCCTATTCTATGAATATTATGACAGAGAACTATCAAACTGCTGTCACATGTTCGGTGTCTTACAAGGACTTTACATTATAAATAGTATGCAAATTTGCTTAACTGTGTTCACTTAAATTAAAAAGATCCTACTTGGAACACGCTCCGATTTAGACCACTTTCCCCTACTAATTTCAAATTTAATAAGTAAATATATTCATAAGCAATAAAATTTAAACTTTTGTTAGTAAATGTTTTCTGCCAGATTCGTTTGTTTTAGACAAAAATCAAATAAATATAATTTCATTGATTTTTTAGCTAACATGACTGAACTGAATAATTACTTGCATTTACATTGTCGGAAAGTTTCTATTAAATTTAATGCACTTTACATGTTCCAAACGGTTTATTGAAATTTATATGTTAATTTAACACACAAGATGAATATGGTATGTTAGAAAGGAACACAAATATTATTTGAGACAAACTACGGAAGCATATTTTTTTCAGTAAAATTAACATTTATATGTTAAATTAACATATATTTATTTATTCATGTACGTTTTAAAACATATTTTAATATAAAATACATATTATATTTATGTTATTTGTTAACTTATTCATAAATTGTTTTATTTTGATACTAAGAAATGTTAAATATATATTTAACATAAACTATTCAGGTAACATAATTACATTATATTTAATTAAATATGTTAAGTAATATATTAAATTAAATATGTTAAATAATAATATATTAAATTAAATATGTTAAATTGAATATGTACATACATAAAATTTGCAAAGACATTTGAAAAGTCTGTTATACCATATCACTGGTTACGATTGCCAGCGACAAAGTAATATTCTGAGAGGTAACTGTGACTTTCTGAAGAGACTTTAATAACTTTACTTCTTTCCATAGAGTGGCTTGCTAGTTTCAATTAGTATTCTGAAATATGCTTGTTCCGCGTGTGCACTACGCGTTCGTGGTTTCAACGTTCAAGATTGATTGCAAATAAACTCAACGTAGTTTGCAAAGTTTTCAAAGACACCGTGAATTTCAGATACTTACACGTGCATATTATACAAAATTAATTGTCTTTAATAAGCATGTTTATAATTAATTATTAGAAGTGCAGGAGAATATACTATCTAGAAATGATTAACGATAGGAAAATTTCTAATTATATATATACTGTGTTATTAACAAAGTGAAAACATAAACTAATAATAATAATAATAATAATAAATAATATTACGCTCCTCAATGTTATTCTACATTATATTTCAATGAAATTGATCTTACATTTCTATTCCGCTATTGAATTAATTCTTCTATACTTTCTTCTCATCTCTCTTTACAAATTACATTAAAGATTTTACGATTTTACACGCTATAGTTTATTATGTTATTGAAAAATAAAAACGTAAATTAATAATAATTGTAATAATAATGTAGTAATAATAAGTATAAATATAATATAGTAATAATACAGTAATAATATAGTAATAATAAATATAAATATAATAATAATAAATTACGATGTTACACACACACGTTATAATTTACTGTAGTATATTATTATTACGAGTTTAAGTTGTTACTTTGTTAATAACGTAGTAAATTAAACGTAATAATAAACTGTAATAATAATAATAATAAACACTACAATTTACTGTAGTAATAAACACATTTATATACAGCTTACTGTGTGTATGAATTATTATTATTATTATTATTAATTTATATTATTAATAACGCAGTAAACTGTAATGTGCAAGATCGTAAAATCTTCAATACTTGTAACGATGAGGAGGATAACAGAAGTATTGATTAAATCGCAGAACAGAAATGTAAAACCGGTACACATGCAATTGTATACAATGTATAATAACATTAAGAAACATAATGAGACATTATTATTCGAAGTCAGATCTATAATTCATAGAACGAACTTTTATTTCCGACAAGGAAATCGAGGAATAAGCTAAAGCGGAATATAATTTTTCGTTTCTCCTTGCCATTACTTTTCTATATACAATCGATGAAATATTCAGTCTTGCCTCGCGCGTCTCTCGTTCCATTTCCGAAGACTCGGCAGTCTCAACTGAATTCTCCAGCCTACGGGTGGTCCATTTATAATATAAGATTATCCTTACGGGACTATGAAGTGACAAGAAAGACAAATTCGAAAAGAACTGACATATTTCTTGAATCTTGATGCAGAAGGAAAAAGCATTTTGCTTTGTCGTGGCGTGTAAGGTTGAATCAATAAGGCGCTGTTGGCGTGCATAAGATAAAACCCGCGATATAACGGCGGATCGCATCTTGGGCATGATTTTCTGAGACTGGGTTCATCTAGTTCATTAATCTTTCGGAGTAGGTATTACCTATCCGGAGGTTCCTTCGTTAACATCAGGAAACGTTCACACATAGTCACCTATTTATGTACTGTATCTACCTCGCAATAGCGTCGTCGTTAAAATCATATCGAATCGTGTGATTGAAATATCGGTAAAGGTATTTCAGCACCTAATAGTTTCTAATCTCTGATAGTAAATATCGGAATTCCGATATATGAATTTATAAAGCACGATTAAGCTATATGAAAACGAATAAGTAAAGATAAAAATTTTTTAACATCATAACGCATCATTTGCACAAACAAGCGTAAAACAATCTAAAAACGATTATTTTTTTATTTATTCGTAAGATGTCTGCACATTTAAAGTTTTAAAAGAGTTTGGCGTTAACTGTGTTACTTTCCAAAAATAATATTATCGTTAGTTTTCTTTACACAAATTATCCTCGTCGCTGCATTTCGAACTGAAATACAAAACTGCATGTAGCAGACAGAGTTAAAACGCAGGATGAAATTAAAATATTATCATACGACGCCAGATTGCGCGTCGCTATGCAGTTGCTAGGGAAAGTAGAACGCGTAACTAAGGATCCGGGACGAACACATTTAGTAAAGCTGGAATAATTTGAATGTGAAGAAGGATGACTGCCTCGCCCCGAGCTTTATTTGTAACGACAGCAACGTTCACGGCCCACATATTTTAACTTCTATTACAAGTGTGCATGAAAAATGACATCTTTTTTTTTATCATTTTATAGACATTTCGTAATTTTTATATTGAATTCCGTCGTTTGTAGGTAACTTTGTTTAATTATCGATGCGTCAAAATTTTTTCTTTATTGAAAAAATCCATTACTTCTTTCGACAGGAATAAAAGTCGGATTGAGAAAAAAGATATATTGCATCAATTACTTAATTGATGGATAGCATTGTTACTGTCTTGGTTACTGGATATTTCATTTGAAACGTGGTAAATATCGATTGGATCTTTCGCACTAGTTTTTCTGTATTCATTCAATTAAAAACTCGGTCAAGCCTGTATTAACGGATTCTCGCGTTATCAGCTGCCCAGTAAAACCGAAGCGAACAATGGTACTTAAGATATAATTGTGAAATATGCAAGAGATACAAAACATAAAAGTAACCGTTTGTCGTTGACAGAAAATAATTCCAAATTAACTTCTACTTGTTTGAACAGAGCAATTAAAAATTGATTAATATATTCGGAAAAAAAACATCGGAATTAATATTCTACAGAAGACTTCATAAAATTTTATATCCTTCTTTTATTACAGGTTTTTCAACCGTGTAAAGATAATTAGTCAACATTCCTACCTTATTATAAATTATATTTAAAAAGATTTATTTATGTAATAAAAAATGCTTCACATAATATTTATATAAATAAGTTTTTAAAAATATAATTTACATTATTTATAATGTAAAATAAAGCGAGAGTGCTGAATATTATTACTTTTGGAAACGAATAAGAAAAGAAAGATATCGTAAAATTTTTATTTTAAGAGTTACGTGTCTTTCATATAATTTTTCTTGATTCTAAAAATATCGACATAATTTTGGAATTAATATCCTGAGCTTTTTCTCAAGTAAATAATGTGACGTGATAAGTTTCCTTAATTGATTGTGATAGATTTATGATAATCGTCTCAACGTATAAAACTGGATTTAAACTAATTGTAAGCGGGCGAACGCAAACACAAACACGAATGGACAAATTGCTTTAATGAGCGCGAGCGGTGCCCCGCGGCGGCAAGTTGTTTGTTCTTAAAACTCTTTCCGTTACGAAGTAATTAATAAATAATAGTTTACTATATCGTGGAAACGAATAAATGCAGTAAATGTGATTTTAAGATTTATTTAACGTTATAATATGAAATAATCTTCTTTGGTGTATATATAACAGACGTCTAATTAGTTTTTTATTATTACTTAATTATAAAAATTATGTTATCTTACCACAATCGTAATTTAGTGTCTCGTAAATGTCTTCCAGTAAATTATAGTTTTCCTCCTCTTCAACGTTACTTAAAAGTTTTTCTCTGAAAAATGAAACAATATATGATTTATTATTAAAAATCATACGTATTTAATCTTAATGTAGAAAGAAATTTACAAAAATACATTAATATTAATTATTAACAATAAAACTTGATTTAGATTTCTATAATGTGTTACATTTATTACATTAGTTTTTACAAATGCAGAATTTTTATAAAAATTTACATTAATTAGTACATTAAATAAATAGAAAAATTTAAATTAATAAGATGTTAATGAATAGAACCACTTTTGTGTGCTTGCATATCAGTATATATTCTCTCTTTCTCTCTCTCTCTCTCTCTCTCTCCTTTGTCTAATTAAATTTTAATTAAATGAATTATATGCGATGTAACTTTTTCTTTACTTTGATTTTAAACTACAAATGTTACTATACTAAATTAAATTCTTTCTAATTATATTACACAGATTTTCTTATTTAATATAATTATAATCATTAGATTTCTTTGACAATTTCATATAAAATATAATAAATATTATATTATATTTTATATTTTGGACAATAAAGATGTTACGTAGAGGTACGACTGTGTTTATTAGTATATGCAAAAAGTTTTCGAGTTTAATAAATTAAATGACCAACAATGTGAAACAGTTAATTTACAATATTAAAAATTGTTTCATGATAATATTTCATTCAATTTCTTTTACTTTTCCACCGACTATCTGCATAATATGCATAATAGAGAAAATATTTTTAATGAATGTACTTACAAAGACGATGTTGTGGACGTTGGAAGAGGTATTTCATGTTTATTTAATAGAGCTTCTAGTGCCACAGCCACCACTTCGTTCTACAATACAAATTAAGGTTTCAAAAATAATTACGAAAGGGCAAAATTAATCATTGAATTAAAATTAATTATTTCTCATTACGGTATTTTATGTCCAGTTAATTTTTATCAAAAACTAATAAAATATCTGAAATAATTAACATATTTGTAATGTAGATTCTTGACAAAATAGTGACATTTTATAAATAATATACAAAATTTTATTGAAAGAGATGTGATAAAATCTAATATTTAGCTCCGCTTGTTTGTTATAAAATCAAAACTATTTAGAACATATTACATTTAACAATATTTCAATGCAATATGTTCTACGCGTGGACACATGCTGCAAAAAAATTCATTCATGCAGAATACATAATTCAGTGCTGTATACTGTGGTAGTAATTTTGAAGTTTTATCGAATAACTTCGGTGGAGTTTGTACAAAGGTCTTTCTTTATAAAACGCATTTGAAAGATTAATATTCTCATGCACACAGGTCATGCATCAATGTAGCGAGACTAAATTATATGAAGTCCGATTTAACGACGTTACACGAGTGCGTGTGATTCGACATTCGTTGTGTAGCAATAATCCGATAGTTATTATGCGATGCCTACATTTTCGCTGTAAATTACGGCCTGTGTTTTACACCGAGAATTATGGCACCATTCGAAACGCTCGTATGGGCAATTCTTCTCAAGAGAATAGTGCTCGGGGCACTCATATGGGACATTACTTCAACCACATGACCTTCATTGCATAACGTTGTTAGAGGCAGAGTTATTCTCTAACTTAGTTCTCGTACGGATTCACACTAAATTACGATTAATATCATGTTAAATGGCAATTAATAGTGGCTAACTATTGTAGATGTATCCTAACTATTACACCTGGAAATTATGCGAAATAGGAAAATCATAGATTGTGGCTCCTATAAGGCTGTTTCAATATTTAACAAAGTTATATTACATATTGAGTACTGAAAGCTTTCATTTACTCCGTAATACTTTAGTATAACTACAATATAACGAATGATAAATTGCATAAGGTAAGATACGATATTTACAATATTCTTCGAGCTGTTTACTTATTATAATTATAATTAAATGCATTATATTTTTTAATCGTGTAACAAAACTCTTTTAGAATATCAGCAGAGATTGATAAATTGCTGAAAACTTTTGTATCTCTGGAAAACTGAGAATTTTACGTATCATCATATCATCTCTCTGTATTTATAAATGATACTATGAAACTTGATGTTGGTAAAAAGAAAGGGAGGTCTCTTTCATTTGAATATTCTGTTTCACGTATTCATTCGATACAATAACAATTTGTCAAAATGATATCTGACAAATGGCATTATCCACTAACATTGACAGATGATATCCATTTATATTGGCACATTACGAGAAATGGCATCTAAAGTAATCAATAACTTACGCAAGTAAAATCAATTTTGTTCAACAATTTTGTTGGATATACCGATATATTTACTAATTTGCAAAATTAAATATATGAAATATGTGTAACAGGATAAAATTTTCAAACTCTGAATAAAGCGATTATTAATGCAAATTGCTTATGACCCAAGATTATCATAACAAAAAAGTTTTGATGTAATCTATTAGAGCGTACAATTTTAATATAATCTATTACAGCATACAGTTAAGTCCTAAATGTTAGTTTAGCGGAACATGAATTATGTATAATACCAACGCTCATTAATAATTGATTATAATCTACATTGGGAATTAGATCAGGGATGATCTTGCGGAAAATCAGGATATAATAGGCTAATCTTCGTTGCGTATTATTAACATTTCTTGTTGTGCGTCATGAGAATTATAATAATACAAATTAAACATACTAGTACACAAAGAATAGGAGATTAGGATAATTACGTTATATTATTTTAGATGTTAACATATAGCGAACTATGTATTGTGGCGCTGTCGATTCCAAGCTCATTGTTTCCAGCCACGTTGAATTCACCGCATCTTAATTTTCAACTCGTCTCTGATGATAATGTAATACAAACGAACTGCTATAATGAAATTATGTACACAAAAAGGAGGAAAATAGGTGGTCTAATTAGTACTTCGCGTATAAGTAGTTAAATTACTTTCCAACTTTTCAGAGACAGTTGCCCTCTTAATAGAGAAAATATAAAATTTTATGAGTTATTACCCCGTACGATTAATATATCAAAAGACTAAGTCAAAGAATATATAATGGGACATTTGAATTCGATTATATATCAATTGACCTATTTGTATTGAAGCATGATTGCACAAGATAGCGTTTTCAAAAATATTTCTTCCCCCAAAAGCATTTACGGAAACTGTAAAAACATTTCGTAAATATATTTTTTATAGAAGACAAAAGAGAAAAATACAATAAAAATTTGGCAGTGCAAAATGTTGTTCAACTAACGCCTCAATAGTCACATTCCAATTGGAGCCAAAATCAATAGGAAGTCGCTCTAGAATGGCCGTGGAAGGTCATTCAAACTGTTTGTAGGAGGACAGTCATGCGAATTGACGTGTTTGTCAGTTTACGCAGTCGTAGGAAATATTAGGTTGGTTTATTATTAAAAATCACATCATCGCCAAATAATTTTGAACAATTTCTATTTGAAACTCAGTTGTATTCATTACTTTTGCAGTAAAATGATTAATGATTATTAATATTTTATATAATTACTTTCCCATGTAAAAAATATTTATCATATTATTTTATACTTTGTTATAATATGATTATCACAAAAAGAAAAGAAATTAAAAATAAATAATTTTTAATTATGACATCTCTGAATAATTATGTTATAATTGTATCCAGTGCTGAAAGAACTGCAGTATCATTGCTGGATGTCCTGAGTTAATATTTTTGTAGCACGGAAAGTCGGCCACCTATTATACCACGCTAGCTTCGAGAAATCAAAGTAAGTGCTTTGCAAGAGGTACTTAAGTGACTTAATACGTAGAGATCCCTTTTTATTTTTGCATTTCAAGTACTTTACAGTACTTATTACAGTACGCGATAGCGGCCGCAACGAGATTCTCATGCGAGATTCTACCTCTCTAGCACTAGTACAGCCAATATTTCTATTTTGTCGAGCACTTTCGCATGCTGGAAATATTCATAAAGATTTGTCGCATGAAAGAGAAAGGTAATAAATGATAGAAAACAAATTACTGACGGAGCGATATGTAAAAGCATATGTATCCGTGCGATGAAACAATACAAAGCCTTGAATTATAATGTCTAATTTATTTTATTTCTCATAAACGATTGTCTAATGTTTTTGCCGCGGGAAATATTGTAAATCGTAATATTAATTGCTTCATAAAGGGATAAATTATGCTTTATGCACTTGTTCACTTTTGACAAGGCGATATAAATTACGATGTCATGCACATATGTTTGCCACAACTATACGCACGCAAACTTCACAATTCTTCGGTAAAACGTCCGTATATATATATATATATATATAAATGTGTGTGTTTCAAGCGGAAATATTTCTTCGCGTTTAGAAAGTTCACAATCTACGCTTTAAGCAACTTCTGGCAAAATCACATTGATGTTGAAACTGCGGACATTTTGCTGCAGGCATATACGGTTGCACTTTCGTCACGATGCGTATCGACGCAATTCCACAAGTAGGAGGAAAACTTGATTTCCATCAATTTAACTAAGTAACGAAGTTTCTGTCGCGTCCATCCAATTCATCGAGTGAAATGGATGCCGGGTCGAACCGGTTGCCCGTCACCATAAAGCTTGTCTCTACCGACGTGTCATTCACGGTAACAATGATTAGTCGCGAGCGTTCCCTGAAATTCACGATACGAATGCAACGTATTTTTACAATTTTGTTTTTGCGTATTCATGCGGCGGGATATTGCCACGGGTTAAAGCAGAGTATATCAACCGAGAAGAACAATCCACCATATTGTCCCACTGTAATCTGCGAAATGTTAAACCATGTAATAGATACGGACCGTCTGTTGAATGGCATAGTTTAATTACTTTTGGCGGGGCGTACTGAATGTTCGTGCTACTGCAGATTGCTCGAATAACCTAGTTGTATTTGCCGTTAGCTAAGCTCATTTGTATAATATTATAGAGAAATAATCTTAATGTTACACCTTAACGTTCTTGTCGGTCATAATCCTAATTATTTAAAGAAATGTATCATATCTCTATGTATAAGTATGATATTCTTTTTCCTTTTCTATTCTAAAAATAAGCGCAGAATACTTTGTTATATTCGTTATATCATTAAATATTTTTCTTTGCGAAAGATAGTCTCTTGTTGTGAGGAACCCCAGCTCCTCGTAAAGCACTCTAGTTTGTTACTACAAAGCGCAAAGGGATGCTATATAGAGAAAATAGAATGACGAGAAAAAGGATTAATCTCGTGCACGTTCCTGACGTAAAACGTACCTAACGTTTCTTTAATGAAGACCCGACAGCTTGATAAAAACGAGTGCCACGTGGTTAAACTAAGATACACTGAATAGCTTTCCGTTTTGCGGAAATGACCGCGTAGTCTTATGAAGCTCGTGTTTTTAAACTCGAACGATGCGCGATATTTTTAGCAGCCGTTTTCAGCAAGAAAGGAATTCTTGAACACAATGTGCTGAACTAGTATATTTGAGAGTCGAAGGAAATACTGCAGACAGAGCAGACAATGCAGAGAATACACACATTTGTGAAATGATGAACAAAATTTTATTCTCTACAACATGCCAAAAAATTGCTGAAGAGGAACAATTGCATCAAAAGGATAGATGCAAGTTGGTAAACAAAATTACGACTCTTTGTTATAGTGCTTTACGAGGTACCGCGTCATTATAATACTAAGAGATGCGACGTCGAACATTATATTTTGCTAGTTTATCTATTCCATCTGACTTCTGGCCAACTTTGGGAAATGTTATAAGATTACGGTATTTCTCTGTTGCTTCTTGGCGCATGTTTTCCTCACGTCAAGCGAAATATCATATGCAACCC